ATATTTACAAAGTTTAAATATAATGTAAAATTTATTATTTATTCTCTCTTTATAATATAATGTAAATATTTATAATGTAAATATAATGTAAAATTTAATATTTACAAAGTTTAAGTAATATAATGTAAAATTTATTATTTAAAATTTTATTTTGTAATTTTATGGTTTTTCTCTCTTTGTGAAATTTAATTTATTTTCTTGACCCATCAGTTCAATATGCCAATTCTGCAAATACTGATTTTATTGCAGATGGCATATCTTGATTCCAATTTTGTTTTTGCGAGCTAAGGAAGCATCACTAAATTTATTTACATGTAATAATCAATACCTTGATTTCTTTCATTCTTTCAAAGTCAACACAAAAACTGTTACGCAAAAAAGGCACAACTGATCATGATAATATGTTGTTGTATTTCATATATTCTTATTGTCTGGATCTAGAAACAAGAGACATTTAAGTAAAATATAGTTCACATATAGAATACATTATCATCAAACTAATCCTTAAAAGTAACATGTGTTTCAAGGTTTCAATTATGGTGTAGCATTAGTGACCAGAAGAAACCACAACCATCGAGTTGCCACCAACATCATGCTGAATGAAATATAAAATTTCAGGGGATAAAATTTACCTCAAAAGCATGGCTGACACTGAAATCACCAATTTTTACTGCTCCCTCTCTTGTTACCAAAAGGTTATCAGGCTTGATATCTCCATGGACAATATCCTAAACAGAAGAAAGATGTGATACAATAAGCATCAAAGCATAACTTAAGAATGTTTTGACGATATTGAAATCTGAAGTGCAAATTCTTAACCATTTAAATTTGTAAATTATGCCCTTATATGCAATGAAAACAAAATAGCATATTATGTCTCCTCTCCATAACAAAATAGCTAGCCAAGTGATCTATAAGTTTATATCCTTTTGCAGCCAAAGTCAGTTGTCTGACAACTCTTGTAAGACCAATCTTTCCAATTTCCTGTACACACCTAGTGCTGCCCCTGACTCCCTGACATGTCATACCGATTATGGTACATAATGATCTTCCTTTTGATGTTTACTCCTGAATTTTCAGATCATTCACAACCACTATGACACTAATAGTTAGCATATCACAGACTATCCAGATAAGACAAAGGTAGAAGCAGTCATCTATGTTCTAGGCCTTCAAAGGTGACATGGTTTTAAAATATCTGGCAAAATAGCCCATAAATTTCAAAGAAAAATCAAACAGTGACATATATTCAACTGAACATTCTATGGTCACAGAATGACCTGGAAAAGCTTGTGGTCCATACAACTAAAAATGTTCTCTTCTTATTTTATAAAAGAAATAAGAATAAGTTAACTTGCACTTAAATAAAGATAAGTTTCTCCTAAAAGAATGGGAAAACATAATAACTTACATGAGCATGCAGATATACGAGCCCAGCAATTATGCCTCTCAAGTATCGTCTAGAGGTAATTTCTCCTATCCCTCCAAGTGTACCAGAAGAACCACATACCGAGCTGCCTTCCACATATTCTAGTACTATAACGAAAAACATCTTATATAATGAGGTCACAATTATGAATCATCCAGATGAAACCAATATATAAACAGAAGACAAGGAATGAAAGAATGTCAAATATTAACTAGTTACCCATGTATAAATTATCTGACTCTGGGTCATCGATCACTTCAATAAGATTAATTAGATTTGGATGTTCTATTATCTTCATAATTGATACCTGCAGAAAGATTAAGAAAAGCTGGATGAAATTACACTTTAAAATGATGTCCAGTAGAAAGTGGTAATCAACTGGTAGAAAGTGGCAATTCGATTAATCAAGAAAGTAGTATATTTGAGCTGCATTTAACATGTAGAAGACTTGAACTTGTTAGTGCATAAATATATACTATCAGATGGAAGATATATAATACATATATTAGCAATCTACATGACTGACTTGACATTCAATGGTTCTAAGATGAATATACCAACATGCAATTATGTACCTGAGATTGTTCTTTTTGTTCAAACAGGAGTCTGAAAAGAAAATCTTGGAAGCATATCAATAGCAAAATTTTAGCCATAATCATGCATTATCAAAATGCCATAGAATCAAACATCAGAGAAGGAACAAAAAAGGTCCAGCAATGTAAATATTTCAAATAATTATAGCATTAACCACAAGACAATTGCCTGTGATTTCAGCAGACTATTAGGCATAGAATCAAACTAAAGATAATTGCTTTATGCAAAAAATTGAATTTCACTGCATGTTGATATCACTGTGAGCAAAAGCTAAAATTGCCTGGCCATGTATAGGTATAGTAAATGCACTATAGCATGGTTCAGCATCTGCCAATAAAAATAACTGGCATGGCAGTCCTTAGCTTTGTCATTAAATAAGATTTGTTATACTTAGCACAATTCTATATATTGCATAGATTCACTATGAATGATATGAAACATCTACACAGCAAGAAACATCTTTACAGCAAGAAGGCAGAAAGGAATACTGACAAAAAAACAAAGAGTACAGTATAAATTGTTTTTAGCAACCAAGCATGATTAAGATAAAGGTGCAAAGCTTCTACCTCCCTAAAAACATCTGTCATAGCTGTTTCAGTGGAAGTAACTTGCAACCTAGAGAGACGAGACTTGTAAAATGCCTGCGCTGGACAAATATTCCAACATTAGAGTAATTGTTGCTTTTTTGCTTTTACGAAAATAGAATTTTAAATTAGTGTAAATATCAGCTTATTCATATAATTGGCACATCCAATGCTGACAAACCTAGTATCTAGATGTACTTTCTCTGTGAATGATTCCATCATAAAAGAGAAAATTTTAACAAAATTTACCAATATTTACTAATAGCATATGCATTTTGTCTAATGCTGTCATACAATGGAAAGGAAATTAATATTCCTTTAACAATCTCAGAGGCACGATAATCTTGTTTTGGCAAACAAAAAACAAGGGGATATGTCGAAATTTGTACAGCTTACTGAAAACACATATAAAGCAATCAATAGATTGTTACATGGAAAAAGAAGCAGAACGCATACATGCAACTGAGAGAAGAAATGCTCAAAGCATGTATATAAAAATAAGAACTAGTTCCAATGCAAGAAAGTTTCCTATCCAATAAATTTTAACTCTTAAAGTAGCCTTTTATATTTGCCAATTTATCTACAACAAATACAAGTAATACCATAGCTGAGAAGTACATCAACATATTGCTACAATCGGTAATTTCATAATTAGGTCTCATTGAAAATTTTACGGACTACAGAAACCTTAAAAAAAAAAAATGAGGGATTAACAAGAGACGACACCTTGATTGCATACTGCTTGCCATCATTATTGCTCCGATATAATACCTACCTCATAATTAAAAATGAAAATACCATCTCAGTTTTAGAAAAAAAAAAAACATCTTAAAGATCACTTGGGAAACTATTATTTTCTGACAGCTGATTGAGGTCCGTACCACTTTCCCATAGCTTCCATGGCCTATGGTACATTCTTTGACATACTCATTGATCATCTTTTGTCCAGAAGCATCCTGCAAAAGTAACAGAAGAAACCAACCATGGAGGGCTTGTCATGCAAAAGCATATACTTCAATACTCGTACATGCAAAACTAAATAACCATCAGAAAACACAAACAACCAATGTCGACGAGAGTGTAAGCCCAAGCCGGTCAGAGGAGAAGTATGAAAACAGGAGTCGAGGTAATAATGAAAATTTAAGCTTCATTGGGCTCAAACTATCACATGTATCTCAATCGATCATTTGAGCATACATAGAAAAAGAGTAGGCAGATAGATAATCTTGATGACGAATGCTACTTGATTCTGCCCAATTGTTATATAATTCTTCTACCTATTTCTCAAAAAGGTGCAATTCGATGGCAATTCCAGAAGCAACGAGCAAAACAAAAGGATTCAAGAAACAAAAACACCGACAGGGCATAGGACATACCCGGTCCAGAGTCAAACGTTTCGTTTCCTTCACGGGTTTCTCCCTGCAGATGGGGCGATTCGTCGGCAGCATCAAAGGCGCCATCTTCCGGCCGCGACCCAGCATCCACACTTTCTCGAAATCCACATCTTCGTCGGGCTTCTTGAGGAACCCGAGGCAGCCGCAGCAGCCAACGTCCAAATCCGAATCGGGAAGCACAAAGCCCGACATGGGATGAACCGTCCCTCGAGGATAAACCGACCAAAATTCGACGACTACGGGAGAAGAGGCTTCGATCGGAGTCCCTGGAAAACGAATAGGGACTGGGGAGGCCCTAGATCGGGGAGAGAGAGAGGGGGGAGGGGTGGCGTGCGGGAGACAAAAGCGCACCTCCGCTTCTCTTCGGCTGTCGCGTTAGGTTTTGTTCGTTCGAGTCTGTTGTCGGTTCGCCTGGTGACGGGACCGCCGATCGGAGACCGGAAAAGACGGAGGAACGATGCTTGGCCGACGACTTCGGGTACGACTGTAGGCATGACGAGGTACGACTGATCGACTAAACCCGAATCCGAACATGGCTTTTCGGGTTCAAGGAAAATGGAACCCGATTTAACCGGATCAAATAATCTTAGCTATCAAAAAATCCGATCCATTATAATAAATAAATTAGGTGTTTAAATTCGCCTCAGATACATATTTCTATTATCCAAATTTATTCCAAATTAAATAAAAAATATCTTCTTTAATTGTAATAAACTTCAATAACATAAGATTAAAAGTTTATATTAAATTGTTTTGCTTAAGATAGCTTTATTTTTGGAGTTTTCATCTCCATTCACTGTTGATAACCGTGGCATAATGTTAAATCTAAATTTTATTACTTATTACTACAACAAAACATATTCTTATATGTGATTTTTGTATACACTTACTGTTAAAACTGTGTCATAGGTGAAAAAATGTAACAATTATTTTACTCACTACAGATAATAATCACGATACTAATATCGGATCATGCATAACTTTGTCTTCGAGATTATAAATCACAGCCCCATATATATATATATATATATATATATATATATAGTAAGAAGCTTGTCATCTTGCTCTACGAATGACTAGTTGACAACCCTGCAGTTCCGACGGATCTCTCCGGCAGAGGAGGTGAGGGGGCTTATGTTCCCCATCTTGATCATGGAGTTGACGAAGTCCCTGAAGAAGAGGATGCTGCTGTTGCTGTACGCCTGCACGAGCGCCTTCGTCGCCGCCTGGCCCTCGTCGCTCGAGAAGAGACCCTGGTCGGACGACAGCAGGCCCTTCTGCTCCACCAGGTTCTTGAAGTAGTGGTTGTCGAAGGCGTAGTTGGAGTTGCGGTCGAGGGGGGCGGTCGCGTTCCCGTCGCCGCCGCTCTGTGGGCAGAGGGTTTGCAGCTCCGTCGCCATGCTCGGGTCCAGCGTTGGGTCCACGGAGGAGTCCTCGGAGAAGTCATACAAGCGGCCGCTGAAGGTCACGCATCGAGCTCGGCCGATCGTGTGGCCGCCTGCGCATGCAGTGCAATCAATCAATGGGTTGTGGAGAAGGAAGCGTGCAACTGCTGGGATCGGTGCACACCTGATAAAGAGACCACGTCGGTGGTGTTGAGACCAACAGCAACAAACTTGTCGATGATGGTGTCGATGGAGTCGAAGGGAGAAGGAAGGTCATTAGCTCCAGTCTGGTTCGCTACCAACCCATCCCTTCTTCCCAGAAGAACGTTCCAATAAGGCCCTCCACTCTGAAACCAACACTCCATCATTCCATGTATATTCTCTCTCTTCTGCTAAAGCTGTCTCTAATATATGTAGAGAGAGAGAGAAGGAAGAGACATGATGTACCAAATACACCGAGTCTCTAGCTGCTATAGTAAGTATATCTGCACAAGACACAGTTGCATTGCATGCGTTCTCCACTGCAGTCTTTATGGTGTCGATGACATCAAAACCCCTCGCAGAGTTCCGATTGGGAAGGGCAAGCTTCTCGCTGTCACTCCCATCAAGAAGAACTGAACCATCACATCCCTGCACGAAAAGGTCCATCGAGGAGAAAGAAATTAACCAAGAGAGCGAAGCCTATCTGCTATCTCACTGATGCATACACATATAAGCAAGTGAAGGAAGAACTCACGTTCACAAAGCAATCATGGAAGTGGAGCCTCAGCAGTGAAGCTGCCATCCTGGTGTCGTTCCTGAGAGCACTCAAAAGCTGGCGGCGGACCACCCTGAACACGGCGGGGCAACTGTTTGCGTAGAAATTCGTGCTCAGCTGTGATCTGCAAACCCCCATGCTCAGCCACAGCACCACCAAAGCTGTGATCAAGGAAGGAACGACGTTGCTAACACTCTCACAACCCTTCATCTCTCTCTCTCTCTCTCTCTCTCTCTCTCTCTCTCTCTATTATATGTATCTGTCTCTTTCTCTCCACTGCTTGATGTGTTGAAGCCATGAGAAGGATCGATTTATAGAGAGTTGCAGATGGAAAAGGAGTTGCCATACTTATCTTGGCTTTTGCAGATGGAGGGAGCTTCAGTGCGCATTAGCCATCAGCACTACTGCTGCCGTCGTGGATCGGAGAAAGCAAGATAATGGCCGCAAGAAGTGAGGATGGAGAAGGACTGGGAAGGGACCTCGTGTCCTTTTGCAGGGGTCAGGTCAACGGAATCGAGCTGCATGCGTGCGTCGTCCCACCTTTGCATATATTGCTGCCGATGAAGAGAGCACTGATGAGAGTATTATAAGCAGGTAAAGCACGTGATTCGGTATGTGTCGAAGAAGCTAAAGCAGTTGACCTCGATAGGCCGCTACATTACCCCCGGATATGAAGGCGGCTTGATGAACCAACTCGTGCATCTCCAATTCCTATTTCTCGATTAAACCCGAGTCAAAACCGATCTGACAAATCCAGCTGAACCGACTCGGTGAACCAACTCGTCTTTCACAAATTGCATCTCCAATCTCGGATTCTTAAATTGACTCGACTCAAATGCAACCAACGAATCAATCTGACCCGACCCAACTTGACTTGATGAACCAACTCACTCCCGAAGGTTCAAACAGCGTCCCCTCGTACCGACGACTCTGTTGATATCCACATGGTGAAGGTAACCTCTCGCCGGCGCTTTTCCTCTGCCTCAGCCGCCGCTGTCCCTTCTCCTTCCAAGTCCCCACCTCCCTCCTTCTCTCTCACCCCCCCGCAGGACACCATCTCCCATCTATGCGCCCAAGGCCGCTTCGGCGACGCAATCGCCCTCCTCTCCCGCCAGCGCCGCCTTCTCCCGGCCGCCCACCGCCCTCTCGACCTACCCTCCTCTGCCTGTCGCGTTGCAGCCGCCGCCGCAGCATCGGGCCGCCCCCTCGGTCTCCTCCTCTCCAACCGCCTGCTCGATCTGCTAGCCAAGTGTGGCGTCCTGCCCGAAGCCCGCCGCTGGTTCGACTCCATGCCCTACCGGGACCTCTGCTCCTGGAACACCCTCATCGGCGGCTATTCCTCCTGCGGAGACCTCGACGAGGTCCGGAGACTCTTCGATCGCATGCCCAGCAGGGACCACTTCTCGTGGAGCACCATTATCTCCGGCCACTCCCGGCATGGCCACCCCAGAGAGGCGCTCGGCCTCTACCGGAGAATGCAGAGCGAAGGGAGCGGGAAAGACTCGAACTTTGGTAACAAGTTCACGGCTTCCAGCGCCCTTGTTGCCGCGACAGCCATCCCGTGCCTCCGACATGGGAAGGAGATCCACTGCCACATAATTCGAATGGGGTTCGACTCGGATGCCGTCGTTTGGAGCGCGCTATCGGATATGTACGCCAAATGCGGAAGCATCGACAACGCACGCCATGTGTTCGACAGAACACTCGACAGGGATGTCGTTTCCTGGACCTCGATGATTGGGCGGTACTTCGACGGTGGGCGGAGAGAAGAAGGGTTTGAGCTGTTCTCGGATATGTTGAGGGCAGGCGTCCGGCCGAACGAGTTCACCTTCGCAGGGGTTTTGGATGCATTGTCGGAGATGGCCATGGAAGGCCCAGGGAGGCAGCTGCACGGGCACATGATGAGGGCGGGCTACGACCCACTCTCGTTCTCAGCCAGTGCTTTGGTGCACATGTACTCAAAGTGCGGGAACATCGACAAGGCCAGGGCGGTCTTCGAGGGGATGCCGAAGACGGACTTGGTCTCATGGACTTCCATGGTGTCGGGATACGCTCAGAACGGGCATCCTGAGGAGGCAATCCGATACTTCGAGCTGATGCTGCAGTCGGGGACGAGACCAGATCACATAGCATTTGTGGGAGTCCTTTCTGCGTGCACACATGCCGGATTAGTCGACAAAGGACTAGAAATCTTTCACTCTATAAAAGATGAGCATGGGATGGAGCACACCGCAGACCACTACGCTTGCGTGGTCGACCTGTTCAGCCGGGCTGGCCGCTTTGAGGAAGCTGAGGAGATCATGGACAAGATGCCGATGAAGCCAGACAAGTTCCTGTGGGCTTCCCTGCTCGGTGGATGCAGGATTCACAAGAACGTGAGGCTAGGAGAACAGGCGTCGGAAGCACTGTTCGAGATAGAGCCGGAGAACGCGGCGACCTACGTGACGCTGGCCAACATCTACGCCTCTGCCGGCTTGTGGGACGAGGTGGAGAAGGTGAGGAAGACGATGGACCGGCGGCGGGTGGTGAAGAAGCCTGGGTCGAGTTGGATCGAGGTGAAGAGACGAGTGCACGTGTTCCTGGTGGGAGACAAGTCGCACCCGAGGACGGAGGACATACATGCGCAGCTGGAGAAGCTGTACAAGAGGATGAAGGAAGAAGGATACGTACCGGACACCGAGTTCGTGCTGCATGATGTGGAAGACGAGCAGAAGGAAGAGAGCTTGGCGTACCACAGCGAGAGGTTGGCAGTTGCATTTGGGATCATTGCTACTCCGCAGGGCACTCCCGTCAAGGTCTTCAAGAACCTGCGGATTTGTGGAGACTGCCACACTGCGTTCAAGTTCTTCTCCAGGATTACACAGAGGGTGATCATTGTCAGGGACTCGAGCAGATTCCACCACTTCAAGGAGGGGAGCTGCTCCTGTGGGAACTACTGGTAATTTGAGTTGCATATTTATTCTAAGAAATTAAGAGCTATCTGCTACAGCTTTCAGAAGTTGGTGTGGCCATGTATAGTAGAGTGAAACCCAGACCAGATGATACATAGTAGATTATATACAATAATAACAAAGCAGGTATTTGGCAACTGGCTACTTGTTTTAGAAAAGGGCCAGGATATCTACAGGGCATTGGGAAGGAATAGTCAACATCCTAGTGATTTTGTAATCCTCCTCGTAGATTTTTTGCTGATGAATTTGGAGAGTTTTCTCGTTTCACATTATGTTGCAAAAGATCTCTCTCACTCTCTCTCTCTCTCTATTTGCTGATGATATTGGATGGCTATTCTACTTATATTTATCCCAATTTGCAAAATATGTTTGCAGCTGTGGCACGGGACAATGCCGAATCCATCCACAAAATAGATGATCAGATCTAATATCTGATCCTTTTCGGATCACAGATATTTAATCAAAACGTAAGAACTATAGAACTAAGATTCATCATCTGTGATGGCTTTATATTGTGGAAACAGACCGACCCAGAAAGCACTTATATTACTAACTAGGAAATGCAATTTCCGCTGTGTTCGAGAAACCATGAAACATAAAGCGAAGAAGAGTCATAGGCAGTTTCAGTTAAAATTCTAATACATTCCACGTAGGCTGAGATGGCTTCTGACCAAAAAGACATGGAAGTAGAGGTGGGCTGAGATGGCTTCTGACCAAAAAGACATGGAAGTAGAGGTGGGCACCTTCACGCTGAGAAACCTTTTGACCCAAAGGCATGTCACCACTTCCCCTGTTTCAGAGAATATATCAGAGAACAATCACAAAGAAAATTAATTGTCTATACAAGCAGAAGCAGAAATCTCAACCATGGACCATCGAGTTTTATATGCCAAGCCCGGGGATAAGGCAAAAAAAATACTATTTATATCTTAGTTGTGCCTGATGAACAATGCCCGAGCAGCTTTTGTAAGAACAAAGGATTCAAAAACATAACCATCCTTGCAATTTATATTCGCTGTATGCAAGATCAGAGGATAGACAGAAATAAGTCAAATCGGCAAATTAACTGAAATCTATGTCATATTTAACTATTCCTTGCAATTCAGAAGCTCATTGCTCCAAAGGAGTAATGTTTCATAATTTTCAACAAACACCAACAAATAAAACTGGAGTGCAAATAACAACACTAGTAGGATTCTACTGACTGCATCAAACCAACTGATGCAGGAGTGCAGATTACAACACATCCACTAGGGTAAGGGTAAGCCTTAAGAAACCTAATTGTGAGAAAACATAGACCAAAATCGACTGTGTGCACTCAATCAAACTAACAGCACTATGAAACAACAGTGATGCCTTAAGCTCTTCAATCAAACAAAAATCAGAACCAAGACAACTTTTCCTAATTTTTCCCTTTTTGTCATTTGATAATCCTTCAACATATAACTAAACTAAATCTTATCATACAAAGAAGTATGCACTCCACCTACATGCCAAACAAACAAAATGGTATTTCCAGAACCCATGACTTAGGTTATTCGAGGTAAAAAAACTAATTATACTGAACAATATCAGGAGAATATGGTCTTTCAGCACAATCAACAACAAGAAAGGATAGCACTCCACTTTTTGCAAGTATTATGAAAATTATACAGCTATAACCTTTCAAGGTAATATATGAATCATGCTAGCCAATCAAACAAATCATCAAGAAAAGAATTGAAAAATCTGAATATATAGGGAATATTACCTGCCAGGACCCTGTTTGACCTTTGGTAGGACCAGAATAGTTTTGTTCGTAGGCAGAACCTGATCCTTGCCCTCCAAAACCAGAACTGACGTCTCTGCTACTCTCTCCACCATAACCAAAATTGCCATTTTGTATGTGTTCCCCACCGTTACCAGGCATTGTCTCCTGCCTATGGTTTTGGCTATAACTAGGACCTGATCCAGGCCTGTTATCTGCCCCAGTAGAGCTTCCATACATATTTTGTTCTCCAGGTCCTCGTGTGATGTTCCTCTGCTCTTGAGGAGCAAAATTACCATGATATCCTTGGTTGAAATTCCTCTGATTTGAAGGCATTGGATCTCTACGTTCTCCTTGATAACCATCCCTTACCGCAGATTGTGCATAGTTTCCCTGTTCTCCTTGTCCGAAGTCTCTCCTTTCTCCTGAAGGAACAGAGTTTCTACCTCCAGGGGCATCATAACCCCTTCCATATTGCCCAGGCTGACTATTGCCCTGCTGTGGAGCATAGTTTGGTCCACCTCCTTGCATCGAACCCCATTGCTCATTTGGTGGATTTCCTTGTGGAGGTGGTCTGTTATAATTTGGATTTCCTTGTGGAGGTGGTCTGTTATAATTTGGATTTCCTTGTGGAGGTGGTCTGTTATAATTTGGCCGGTCATATCTGTTTTGATTCCGTTCTCTACCTTGCCTACCATATTGAATTGGAGGAGGCCTTGGAGTAATAACCCCGTTCTCATACTTGTCACCTGAATATAAGAAGGAAATGTACCAGAAAAGAAGCTATGTTTTAAAAGAAAAGAAATTATAACATACAAATAAACTCAGAACATCTGAATATGGTCACATTAAACTGTAAGCATTGCAAAAATGCTAAACATGTGCAACTTGACACATCCTTAGTTACTGTGATACTCTGATAGGTTGCAAAGATACAAGAAACGAAGTTTAGAAGGAAACGTACAGACCTCCATACTCCTTATTGACAGGATCAATATACGAGTCTGGCAATATGAAGACAACACCAGGCAAACCTAATTTCATTATAGCAAAAATTGTAAGTCCTAATTCTCATATAAGACCCTCCAAATGAGTCCACAGGAAGGAACCAACTACACAAGCTTACCGCGAAACTTTTCTGACATTTCCTCAGTCATTACAGCCTGAAAACCATGGTAAGTTGTGGTGCTAAGTGCATACATCCTTTTCTTGGCTTCTTCAACACTGCAAATAACAACCAATGTTTACTGCAAGATATCCATCTCACTCAAACACATGAAGCATCAAGAAGATGCTTCAAATATACAGTCATGTAAAGAAGATCAAAACAAATATAATAAAAGGAACTAATTTTCCAAAGTGCAAAGGAAAAAAAAGGATCCAGAAGTCTTTGCCAAGAAGACATTTGTAGAATATACACCAACATGTGACGATCCAAGATTCTAAAATAAACTAGAACAAACCTAGCATCCCGTGAAAGGAGCTGTCACCCTCCTCAAACCAGACTCACTTGTTATGCCAAATATACCCAAGTAAACTGAAAGACATCACTACAGTCTTTCTGGTCCCTGCAACTTGGATCTTGTATGATTTAAGGTGCTCCCAATTGGCTATCCACCTGCTGTAAAACTCTAATTTATAGCAACTATCTATCCTCTTTCCTTGTTCCTTCTATCTGAATCTTAAATCATCCTACTGTCTATAAGCCAGCTCCAATATTACCTCTCTATCTTCTACCTCTCCTCTAACTTCGAACAAAGCACCTAATCACTTCAGGTCCGTCATCTCCGGGCACCGAATCATAATATTCTACCCAATAAACTAACGAAAAAAATTGACCAACGAATGAAGGTTAGTTTCATCTTTTTTGGATTATAGATAGCAAAATTGTTATTTATTCATCCTCAATTATGGGAAACAAGGTAGGAAAATAATTGTAACCAGAGTGAAGATGGAGCTGCCGAAGACCACCTTGTCCGATCCCTTCTCGTATCTCCTAAGCAACTCTTGACCATGATGTTCACTCTCCAGTCCTATACAGTCTTGAATAGCATTTATGTTCCCAGGATAGCGTGCCACTTCTATAATCGGACCAGGAAAAGCCAAGTACAAGTACATGTTTCTAAGTATAGACAAACTTTGTAGGACTATCATCAAAGACTAATCATTCTCAAGAACTTTGCTAACATCACTCGAAGAAACTTCTTTTCTAACCGTTCTCTAAAAGGAAACCAATCTCAGGTTTGATCTTTTACCTGCCGACAACCGTTGCTAGTGTTTGGATGTAGGTCTCGATCATCTCTTCACGGCTTGGTGCGGGGTCCTTGGGGAAGTCCATGGTGATGAGCCAGTGATTGTAATCGCATCCCTCGAAGAGGATCTCATCAGGCCCGAACTTGTCGTCGGCTCCGCCGCTAGAACGGCTGCTGCAAAGAGGAGCCGACGACCGGAAGGAGAGGGATGGGATCAAGGAGTAAGGTCGTTGGAGGCTAGGGTCCCCGAAGGGGACAGGGGAAACGACGGCCAGGAAGGGAACGGAGGGAGGGGAAGGAGAGGCGTGGATCGCCGAGAAGAAGCGGCCATGTCTGAGGACGGCGGACGAGAGGGCGACGGCGCGGCGAATGCGGAGGGAGGCGAGCGCCATGGCGTGCGGGGCGAGGTAACGAAGGCCGACTAGGGTTTTACGGGTGGAGAAATGGGTTTAACGTGACTTAGGTTGGGTTGGGTCCGTCGACCAAGAGGCAACACGGGCCACGGCCTAAGCGAATAAGCCCAACTTAAGCCGACCCAGCCCGACCCAAATCCGCTTCCAGTGTGAACTTGCCATTTCATGGGTCATTATGTATGCCCATTTATCTATATTTGATCAAAAATGATGATTTATCAATGCATTAAAACATCTAATGCAGCAATCTAGACGAGTTAAACGTGGTGTTAGATCAGATTTTTATTGTATGAGGTAGAAGCTGATTAGAATTCAATCGAGGCCTTTTCTTCAAGTAAGTCTCAAGTCGAACTTTATCAACAACATCTAACTCAGTAATTCTGTATCGACATTGTTATGTTCGTGATATATTATTCTCGGGCTTAGCTCGGAGTGTGATAACATTCGACCATGTAGCATTAAATTGGGTGACGATTAGTCACATGTTGACTTGAGATCCAAAATATAATATTAAAATATCAATCATCTGACACCCTAACACGTGTCATCCATGTCATCACACTCCTAACACGTGAAATAGGTAAAAATTTATCATATATGATAGATATGCGAAGTTATCATGAAATCTAAGATAAAATTTTTATTTCGTGGATAATTATAGAAAATTCTCAGTTCAAATGGATGGCTAGCGAATTATAGAAAAAAAAAGTATTTTTATTTCTATAGAAAAATGTGAGACGTGGATACGGCTTAGCCAAACAAAAAGCCACTCGCCTCTCCCGTTCCTATCGCGTCCTCATATTATAAACCAAGTGGAAGTTGGATAGGAACAGTGTAGGGATGCAGATGGAGGTAGAGCCGCAGGTAGTGTTAAATTCGGGGCGGAGGATGCCGGTGCTCGGCATGGGGACGGCCACCTACCCGGTGCCGCCCGACGAAACCACAACGACGGCGGTGATCGACGCCATCGGGCTCGGGTACCGCCACTTGGACACGGCCAGCGTCTACTGCTCGGAGCGGGCCGTCGGCCGGGCCATAGCGACCGCTCTGGAGAGAGGGCTAATCGGCAGCCGCGACGAGCTCTTCGTCACCACCAAGCTGTGGTGCACCGACATGCACGCCGACCGCGTCGTCCCTGCACTGCAAGAGTCTCTCAGGTATTTATTATATGCACATGATATATGTTTTATATGACATAGATAATATTACTACTAATCACAGCTCAGAGAACGGAAGACTGCGACAGTTGCCATAAATTGAAGCCAGGATTGACCTTTAGCAACAAAAGAAGATTGTGAGCTAATGCGATTGTCTTATGAATGATCGTAGGACTTTGGGATTGGAGTACATCGATCTGTATCTTATCCACTACCCTGTTAGACTAAAAGGTGAGAAACGAATGGTTTTCACCGGCGAGGACATGATTCCCTTGGACATGCCAACCGTGTGGGAAGCAATGGAGAAATGTCAGAGTCTAGGTTTAGCTAAATCTATCGGGGTGAGCAACTTCACATGCAAGAAGCTAGCTGACCTACTCAACCATGCAAGAATTCCACCTGCCGTGAACCAGGTAAGTCGTAACTCCATCGAATCCATTCCTTTCTTTTTGTTTGCTTGTTAGAAATGAAACAGGAAAGTGAAAGTATTGTATGCTGCAATGCGATGCACAAGTATCCAGTATCATCAAATTGTTAAGATGACAGTCACAAAAATAACCATGGAGCTCAAATGGTTAGGTGGAGGTGATAGCAAAAATTCTTGATCATGGTGTCATAGTAACAGTTGTTCTTGTGATAGGTGGAGGTGAATCCTATTTGGCAGCAAAGAAAACTACGAGACTTCTGCTCGGAGAAGGGAATTCATGTGAGTGCATACTCTCCGCTTGGCGCAGTTGGAGTCTTATGGGGCT